ATAAACTAAAAAAACCCCAAACAACCAATCAATTCTTTAGTGATAAAAATATAGCTCTTTCGTGAGCATGGACACAATACAAGGAATCTGTTTCTTTGCATGAAAAGTAATGTCAAAAGAAAAGGACTCAAACTCTGTTGCCACCATTCGGTTAACCCGGGTAAGAATGTGCATGAACTCCAGCTTGTTAGCGTACTGTTTCAGCATGGTACACAGCGACTGGATGAACCAGGACCCATCTTTTGAATTTCGCCAGGAATAGTAACCTACAAGGCAAAATATGACCAAAATACCATAAGTATCCGATTTTACCTGACTCTATATGTTATTACATAACCATAAAGGTGAACTCAGGATATACCCTCGCAGGTCTTATTAGCCATAAAAAGAAAAATAAATGCATCTCTAAAATAGACATAAAGCTGGGCATGGTGGCTCACACTTATAATCCCAGCACTTTGGGAGGCTGAGGCAGGAGGATCACTTGAGTCCAGGAATTCGAGACCAAGCCTGAGAAACATAGCAAGACCCTATCTCTACAAAAATCTTTAAAAAAAAATTAGCCAGGTGTGGTGGCATGTGCCTGTAGTCCCCGCTATTCAGAAGGCTGAGATAGTAAGATTTCTTGAACCCAGGGAGTTCAAGGCTGCAGTGAGTGATGATTGTACCACCATACTCCAGCCCAGGTGACCGAGCAAGACTCTGTCTCTAAAAAAAAATAAATAAATAAAAAAAAAAATAGGCATATGAAAAGACAAATGACACCTTGGATTTCAGAAGAAATGCTGCTAGAGGGAAAAAAATTGCATGCTGTGCACATGACTCCCCACCACACCTCCTTTAGGAAGGGGCGAGAACTGTGGGCTAACTTCAGCACTGAATTATTCCCAGTTTCACTCGCTGGGCTCCCTTCCGATAGGCAAGATTGGCAAACATGTGGAAGATAAGAAAATGCAAAGGCAAAGATAAAATGAGAAGGATCATTATCAGAAGCATGGTGTTTCAATTGGATTTTATCTTATTTTAATATTGGCTTTGTCAAGAAATAAATTGCTTTCAGTATCCTTAGTGTATCCATAGGGCATCTGAAGAAAGTATAGTAAACACATTATAGATATTCAAGAACTCCAAAAGGGAAAACTGTGTATTTATTTTACTTTCTTCCAGACTGACTGTTAGACCCATTGCTTGTAACTTAGAAGTACTTTGCCTGAAAAGATGCCTGGAAGATAAGGAAAACACACTGAGCATCTTTAAAGCATGTAACACTGTTTAAAAATACATTTAAAGTTTCCAAACGCTTTGATGTGCTGAGTCAGTTGTACAAGGAAATAGTCACATGACCAGTAAATATCTACTTATATGATGATATGTAGCACAACCGCAAAAAAAAAATGGAGGCTGAGAGCATTCATATATCAAGTTTCGCCATCTTTATTTTTTCCCACCCCACTTCTATCCTCTCTTATACCAGTCATGTTCGTCTCTCTGATTTCCTGTCTTCCAAAGAGCTCCTGAAAAACATCCCTCTTTTCTGCTTTAAGAAGTGGGCGAGGCTCTAGCTGGGCCTCTGTTGTCAGGTGATATGTTACCTGGTGTTAAGTTCACAAATGACATTGTGTTCATTTACTCTCCTGTATATGCAGATTTTCTAAAGACAACTTTTGAGGCTTCTCTGTGACTAGAGAAGTTAAGTTATTCCTTAGGTACATCAAAATCTTGATAGTCTCTGGAACACACTCTTCATTATTTAATTCTATAATCAGTCACAGTGTAATTCACTTAAAATCTACATATAACATTCATTATGTGTAACTTCTTACCAGGTGCTGTGGAGTACGCATACAAGAAGTCGGCCTCCACTGGAATTTTCTGACATGCCATATCATCATCAATACCGCTGTCGGTCTCAATGCCACAGTCCAGTTCTGTACCACGGCAGGCCTGGATGTTAGAAAGTAAACTGTTCGTGTGTGTACATATAACTTATTTCTAAGAAATAGAAAGGCTGGCCAGGCTTGGTGGCTCAGCCTGTAATCCCAGCACTTCAGGAGGCCGAGGTGAGTGGATTGCCTGACCCTGAGGGTTCGGGTCCCACCAGGGCAACTTGGCGAGACCTCGTCTCTACAATAAATAAAAAAAAATTTAGCTGGGTGTGGTAGCACGCGTCTGTAGTTTCAGCTACTTGGAAGGCTGAGGCAGAAGGATTGCTGGAGCATGAGGGAGCGTGCCATTGTACTCCAGTCTGGGCGACACGGTAGAACTCCAACTCAAAAAAATTAAAAAAAAAAATAAAAGAGAAATAGAAAGGTTGTGAAAAATAAATGTTAATTACGTTGAGTCTTTTTTATGTAAGTCTAAAATTAAAATTTACTCCATATCTTCTAAGTGGTGGTTCAAATGAATAAAAAAGAAACAACAGTTCACTAGCCTCAGGAAAAAAGTACGTCCTCTGGATAATCTACAACTGAGTAAATTAATCCCTGATTAATCCTCAAAAACCAAATTACTCACTTATTACCTGAATAATGAAAAGTTTGGGTTTTCCAGTTAGACTTCTACAGTAATCCCCTCTGAAAAAACTTGTTATTTTTTTCAAGTCAAGAGGTCCATTTGTTCCAAAAATTACTCCTTCTTCACCATGGCTCAGAAGCACGCAAACAAAACTGCTCCTTTTGCTGTGATCTTCTTTAGAAACTGGAAAGACATTGACAAATAAGAGAAAAAAATCCCACAACTTTATTCAACAATCTCAGATAAATTGTGTGGGAATAAGATGAAGAAAATGAGACTAGAACCAAGAGATCAACTAAACCCAGCCTGGGACAGGGCAACGTATCTCAAACCACCTTAGGGAGCTGGCATAAATAACTTTAACTTTTTACTAAAATACGTAAGGTTAGGATTATGTATAGTATGATTTCACAATCCTCATTCTGTATTATATATATAATCATAGCTAGACGATAATATAAAATCGAACAATGAAGATCATCCTTTTAATTATCTTTTTTCCTCCTTCTGGAATCATTTTCCTTTTTTGTTCCTTTTAATTTTTTTATTTTAACGATGTGGGGTCCAATTCAGGGTTAGGTACGCAAATGTTCGTTATGCAGGCGCCCTTGTTGAGGAGGTGTGCCCCGCTTCCCAGGCAGATCCCCACTACTGCCAATCCCGCCTCCCCACCCCCTCCCGGCAGTTTCCCGCTACTGCCCATCCTTTTCTAACGGTATTATGATCACTGTTCGTCTTTTAATTATTTCTTACCATTGTACATTACTTCCATAATTTCTTCACGTGTCAAATCATTTTTATTCCTGACTTCGTATTTCAAGTTCATGAATGTTTCCCTGAGGTTTGCTGCATCTACATCTGTACCAGAGCGAGCCGCCATTCCTTGGAACAGAAAGAATCACCTTCAGTTGCATTTTTTAAAAAAGAATAACTGCCTTGAAATAAAATGAATGACACAATTCACAAAATCTACGATAAATTCCTTCTTTTAAGTGGTGAGAGAATTCTACTTATTTTGATCATGGTGACACAAAATCTCTCATTTTTTAGTTTATAAGATACTTCATAATATAAACTTATCAGAGTTCAAACCACAGGGATATCTTTCATAGCTGTTTAGAGAGTGAAAAACAGAAACAACTTAAAAGTCTAACAATAGGAGTCTGGTTAAACATATATTATGATTCATTTACATAATAGGATACTGTGTTGCCATTTTTGAAGATAACGTTTTGCTATGGAAAAATGGTCACGGCTTTACAAAAAGACTGGAAAACAACATGAGCCTATTTTTGTTAAGAAATGATATATATATATATGCTGTATGTATAATTCACGCAGACATCTCACACATTCAGAGGAACTATATTTCTTTGATTCTAACTTCCCAACAATTTTAAGATAGCATCATACATTTTCAAACAGTACTGCTCGTGAGGCATTCTGCCTGGGTAATCTCCTTCAATCCTTCCAACCACCATGAGAGAGTCATTATTACAGTTTCATCCCCAAGGAAGTGGGACACGTGGCAGCTAAGCTACTGATCCACTGTGATGAAGTCAGGACTCAGTCTGTGGCCGGGGCTCCAGGGCTTGCCACCACTCCTTGACGGCGCCTTGCACACGAATTAGATTGACTGTATGATGCACTCAGATTCCAAAAATGTTAAAATGTGGGGCAGAAACGCACTTGAGAACCGAGTCAATTTCATGTGTATGAATGTATGATGACTGAGCGCAAAAAGCCTAAATGGAGCTCCAACATATTGTTATTATATCTGGTGGTGCGATTATGGGAGGCTTTTGGCTTTTTTCTTTATGCTGATCTATGACTTCTAAAATTTCTGTCATGGGCATATATGGCTTTGCATAAAATTAAGCTCATCCAGGCTTTGCCATGGAAAGGCTGAGGAAGCTCACAGCCGCGGGACCAGGCGACTCTGTCTGTGCTGCTGTGTGGGCTGCTTGCCAGACACGGCCTGCTGGAGGCCCTGTGAGAGCCTGACCTTCACACTGCAAACGAGGAAAGGAACTCACCGGAAAGGAACCTGCTGTTGTAAATGAGTGAGGGGACAGAGTGATGTGAAATGACGTGAATGACATGCTGGGTCTTTATAATATTTTATTTATTGTATTTTATTTTTTTGAGTTGGAGTCTCACTCTGTCACCCAGGCTGGAGTGCAGTGGCATGCTCATGGCCACCGCAGCCTCGACCTGCTGGGCTCCGGCGATCCTTCCGCCTCAGCCTTCCGCGTAGCCGGAATTACAGGCGCGTGCTACCACGCCAGGCTGATTTTTGATTTATTGTGGAGATGAGGTCTCACCAAGTTGCCCAGGCGGGTCTTGAACTCCTGGACTCAGGCAATTCTCTTGCCCTGGTCTCCCAAAGTGCTGGGATTACAGGCTTGAGCCACCATGCCCGGCCTCATACTGGTTGTTTTTGAAAGAATGAGTTCAACAGTGAAAATAGTACAGAGGGCATGATAACTAGCAATGTTGTGAGTATTTAGAAGTAAATTTTAAAAATTTCACCAAGCAAAGAAACAAGGTATTTTGTTTCGTCTTTAACAGTTGAAAGTGGTATCTCAATTTACAGCCAAAAGTAATAAAAATGGTGCAATTTAGGGACTCATTTCCAACTCTTCTCTCCTCACTCCTTGGAACTAATCTAACACCAAATCCAGCTTATCTTTCCAGTGTGATCTGGCTTCCTTCCATTCCTTTTATTACCTACTCTGGTAGACAGTATCCTAAATTAGATCCATTGCATCTAGCTTCTCTAATTAATTCTAATATGATTAATATACCAATTCAGATAATATCACAGTATCAATTTAACGATGAAAATAGGGAAACAGTCATAATGTTCATTCATAGGGTAAATTATGCAAATTAAGTGAATGGTATATTTAGGGGATGCAGTATTATATGATCATTATAACAGATATGAAAATAATGCAGCAAAACAAACAAAAAAATGCTATTACAATAAGGAACAAGCCGGATACAATATTGCCCACATGTCCCCGAGTGTTAGATTCAAACTCTACACAGCACAGAGACTGACAAGGGGATCTGGTGGTCAGACCAGGCGAATGTGAACAGCAGTTTCACTGGTAGAGTCAGAAAACAGGAAAAGATAGACTCAAGAAATGGGAAGAAGTAGAGATGGCTAGCTCAACTACATGTATTCCAAATTTAGGGAAGAAGGGAAGGAGAGAAATACAGTGGAACTAAGAGGAATCAGAGTAAAATAAGTCTTTCCTTAAGATACGTGTCTTGTCAGCTTTGTAGGGTAAGAGGAAAAAGTGACAGGGAAATGAAGACCCAGGAAGCAAAGCAGAACAGAGGCCTGAGGAGGAGTCCGGGCTCTGGAGCTGGGCAACCCAGCCCCAGCCCCCCACCCTGCCACTAGATGGCCTGTGTGACTGTGCGAGGCTTCTGACCTTTCAGAATCTAACAGAAGGTGTTAGATTCTCGGGGTGCTAGAAAAAGTGAGACAATACCTGTGATGCGCTTTTCTGGAAGGGAAAACTACTCCTACTCACTATTGGTTGAGAACCTTCCATTGGGATAAAGAGGGAGCCGGAGGATTGAGGAGCATGGGTTTCAGAGAAGCCAGGGCAGAAGCAGCCGTGTGGACAGACAGGAGGCCAGAGGGTGGAAGATGGAGATCGGAAGCTGGGAAGGTTCAGAGCTCGTGTGTGGTAGGACCTGTGGAGTCCTGTCCTGTCTCACCTCATGGCTAGACTGTGTCAAAGCTTATTGGCTAATCACACCTCAATGCTCCTTTTATATTATTATAAACGAAAATGGCACAGATACTTGCAAAGGATTAAAAATTATGGAAGATACTTACCAGTGCTTTTATGAAAGTTCTTATTATTAATGATTATACATAAACCCATTTCAGGATAATCCATTTTGTAGCTATTGTCCAAGGATATTCCAGTATCCATTGATTTACTTCCATGTATGATCTTTCTGTTTGGACACCAAACAATACTTGACAAAGGTAGAAACGACCAAGCCTTCCGTTTACATTAATGCAACTTCTACAGTTCATAAGAAGAGTTAACAGTTGGTGAATATTATGTACCGACTTTCTGTTACAGGCCTGTCCTCATTTAAATTTCACACCAACACATTTTATAGATGAGGAAATGATTGGCCATGAGGCTAAGTAATATGCTGAAGGTTATGCAAATATTGTGTCAGCAACCAAGGAAAAAGAAAGTATGTTGGACTTTAGGCTTTTTTTTGAGTTGGAGCCTCACCTGTCACCCAGACTGAAGTGTAGTGGCCAATCCCGGCCACCGCAGCCTCGACCTGCTGGGCTCCGGTGATCCTTCCGCCTCAGCCTTCCAAGTAGCTGGAACTACGGGCGCGTGCTACCAGGCCCGGTTAATTTTTGATTTATTGTAGAGATGAGGTCTTGCCAAGTTGCCCAGGCGGGTCTAGAACCCGTGGGCTCAGGCAATCCACTCACCTCGGCCTCCCAGATTGCTGGGATTACAGGCTGCGCCACCGAGCCCAGTCAGACTTTAGGCTTTTAACTTCTATGTTTTCTATTTTACATTTTAGTAAAATTTATTTTTTCTAAAAAATAATCATTATTTTAGAAACAGGGAGAGTGTTGACCAGGCTGGAGTGCAATGGCACAATCACAGCTCACTGCAGCCTTAACTCCTGGGCCAAGGGAGTTAGCCTCCCGAATAGCAGCGACTAAAGGTGCGCATCACCATGTCCGGCCAATTAAAACATTTTTTTTGTTGAGATGGGGTCTTGCTGATCTTGCCCAGGCTCATCTCAAACTCTTAGCCTCAAGTGATCCTCCTGTCTTGGCTTCCTAAAGTGCTGGATTACAGGTGTGAGCCACCCTGCCTGGGCTAAAAGGATTTAAATAACAACAAAAACCCTTAAAAATAGGATTGCATTTCAGAAGTTTAATTTCCAGAAGAATTCCTTTGTTAGACATTGCAAAATCTTTATTGGTAACTTGTTAATAGTATGGCTGTAAAATTACTGTTAAGTAAGAAAATTAGTTTGTAGCTCCCAGGGTGGTCCAGAATAATACTGGGTTTTAGAAATAAACTTTTAGAATTAAAAGTACCATAAAAGATCCCAGATGAATAATGACAAGCATGAATTAACTGAGTGTTTGAGTTCTATTTCTTTCCTTTGTCCATATGCTAGTTATTGGAAGCATTAATTAGAATACTACAAAAAGACAAGAAAAAAAGCAAAGAGTAAAATATAATCCATAACTAGGCCATTCTTCCCTGGACTGAAAACTGGCATTGAATTCTAGTCTTAAAAACTCATACAGAGGTCAAAAACTCCCCCCAGATTCAACTTTCTAATCCTACAGTGATTTGGAGGACACACAGAGCACCCGGGCCCATGAGGTCTGCCTCTGTGGGGGCGTCCTTCTGGGTCCAGGCCTAGGTTGCTGACAGGCGCCAGGGGCTGTCCGAGGTTTTGTCCTTTGTCATCCCCACAGTTCTGAGTTTTATGACCTCCCTTTATAAGATGAGGTTCATAGAGGGAAAGCTGACGTATGCAAAGCCACCCGGCTGTCTGAGGTCGGACGCCGGGTTGGTCTCTGATCTAAAAGCCTGTCTTCTTCCTTCTTTCCCCCTCTAATCTTGCGGTGTTACACACACCCATCTTTCTCTGATGACACAGGATTCCACTTCCATACTCACGTTTCTGAATTTTTAATGGATTTTGAATCCACTGAACTTTCAGTATTCTCCATGGATACTCTTATTATCTAGAATACAAAGAAAACAAAAGTTAATAAAAAATCAGTCATAAAAACACGGCATTGTGTGATCCCAGTGCATCTTTCTCCAAATTAATGCCCCAGTTTCACCTCTACTGCCAAAGAACTGGAAAAGTGAGTCCGACCTGGAGGCAGTGATTCTTTGCAATAGTACACACAATTTCGACCTCCCTTTAATTGAGCTATAAATGACATAGAGTGAATGGCATAAAATACCCAGATAAGAAATGTGTAGCTTAATGCATTTTTATATTTGTATACCCTCACCAGATCAAGGCAGAGATGATAGTTTGTTTCCTTCACAAGACAAAGGTCATTTACAGAAACTCCAGCTCAACACAGTTAAAACAAGAATCAAATACTTCCCACCACAACGGTATGACACCCATAATGCAATTCTGCAACGCTTAGATTCCCAAGAGATATAGTACCAGGAAGTTCCAAACTCCATTTCATCTTTATTCATAAACTGGGTTTGGAATCCCAACTGCTCATTTAGAGGAGTGGCATGGCCTAGCAAACCTAGAAGTGAAAACTAAAGTTTCTGCTTTTACTCTTCCACCAGACAATTATATCACATCTCACACAGCGAGTCAGTCCTTAAATCAAGGTAATTAACACTTATTGAGCACTTCGCACATACCAGGCATGTTGCTAGGCACTCACCCTTAATCTTCCCGACAATTCTAAAAGTCGGGAAATCAACTTCTAGTGATTAACTGACTTTGTCAACAAGCTACGTGACAGGCCGTTTGCTTCCCACTTTGCTATGCTGCCTCTGAAGATACCAGCTCCTTAATATTTGTTTTCTGGAGTTCTATCAGGTGTACTCTGACTTTCCAGAAGCAAACATATGTCCCTTGGTAATCCACCTCCCTAAATAAGAGAGAAAAACAAGAACAAAAACTCTTGAACGATCTTCTCCAGACTCTAGGAGTCCTGGTTATGTCAAAAATTCCAATCAAAATACAACTTTAACCTCATTCCTATGTTAAAATCAGAAATACTAAAAGAAGACACAATCCCACCACAGGACTCACTCACCCACAAAACCCTTTCTAGAAAGGCCTCAGCAATCTCCCTTTTTAATTTTAATTTTTAAAATTGTGGTAAAATATACATAAAATTGACCATTGTAATCATGTTTAAGTGCCCAGTTCAGTGGCACTGAGTACAGCCACACTGTTCTTGTGATGCATCCCCAGTACTTTCTGTCTTCCCAAATTGAAACTCCATACAAAGGACCCCTCTTTAAGGTCTCTTGGAAAACATAATGTCTTCCCTTCCCTAAAGCTAAGCTTCTTCCTCCCCTCACTCCAAGCTTTGTATGCACCTGTGGTGGGGAAGGGTGCAGGATACAGGAGATCAAGTGCCACCATTTCAACTAAACCACAGGAGAGGGTAACATTTCACCTTCTCCAAAAGCCAGTCCATGTCTTGCATTTCTTTCTTTTTTTTTTTTTTTGAGTTGTAGTCTCACTCTGTCGCCCAGGCTGGAGGGCAGTGGCACGCTCCCGGCCACCACAGCCTCAACCTGTTGGGCTCCGGCGATCCTTCCGCCTCAGCCTTCCAAGTAGCTAGAACTACAGGTGAGCACTACCACGCCCGGCTCATTTTTTGATTTATTGTAGAGATGAGGTCTCGCCAAGTTACCCAGGCGGGTCTCGAACCCGTGGGCTCAGGCAATCCACTCACCTCGGCCTCCCAAAGGCACGGGATTACAGGCGGAGCCACTGAGCCCGGCTCATGTCTTACATTTCTATGAGGGCTCTTTGCCCCCAGTGAATGCCTGCAACCCTAGACAGTATCCAACCCTATACACTATTTTTTCCCTATACATACATATCTATGACAAAGCTTAATTTATAAATTAGGTACAGAAAGAGATTAACAATAACTAATAAGGGTTACTTGAATACAACATGTAATGCATATTATGTATGAGTACATCTGTGCATTGTAACATATTTATTAACAGCAGCAGTCTCTGGGTGATGGGATTGCTAGTTTATTTACTCCTTAACATTCTTCCATAACTTCTAATATTTCTATAACATCCACATTGTTTTTTGTTTCTGAGTCAGGGTCTCACTCTGTCACCCAGACTATGCCACAGCTCACAGCAGCCTCAATGTTTTGGGCTCAGGCGATCCTTCTGCCATAAGTAGCTGGGACTACACGTGCACCACCATGCCTGGTTAATTTTTTGTAGAGATGAGATCTTAGTATGTTGCTTAGGCTGGTCTCAAATTCCTGGGCTCAAGCAATCCTCTCGCCTCAGCCTCTCAAAGTGCTGGGATTACGGGTGTGAGTCACACACCTGGTCAGCTGCATTGTTTTTAAAGTCAGAAAATAGTAGCAAATATTATTTTATAAAGTAACATCAACAAAGGCAGACTGCATCAACCAGGATTGTGCTAACCAATTTCAATGCTCAGCTCCGCTTCAGGAGGGATGATAATCGTGAAATTCTACCATCAAAGCAGCACCTTCCTTGCTTCTACCTCACTCTGTACCATGTTCCAGTCTGCCTGCCTTTCTCTTTTTCTTTCATATGAACAGTAAGCATGTATAGTAAGTCCCCTACATATGAACACATTCTGTTCTGAGAGCACGTTTGTAAGTCCAACTTGTTCATAAGTCCAACAAAGTTAGCCTTGGTACCCAACTAGCACAATCAGCTACACAGTACCAGCTATATCACCATTGCTTTTACGCTTGCTTCTGGTCATCCCACGCTTGAAATAAAGATACTGTACTGCTGTACTCTATACAATACTGTGCATTAAAGTACACAAAAGCACAATACTTGTGGAGGATGCACGCACATGACAATGTACACCAGACATGTAAACTAACTTATGTGATTGGACACTTGAATGCAAGTTGGCATCTTTGAAAGCTTGTAACTTGAAGGTTCATATGAAGAGGACTTATTGAATTAAGTTAAAAAAAAAAACTCTCAAAATTCCTGGAACCATAAATATCATAGAGACCACCTTGCCTCTATCCTATCAATTCAAAGTGAGCCAGCCAGATCCTGAACGTTTACCATAATATGATAAGACAGGGATTGGCAGTAGCCAGAAACTGCCAGGGGAGGTGAAGAGAGGAGGCACATAATATCAACAAGGGCACCGGATCACAAACCAGGTGAAGTGGGGACCAAAGGGAGGCTCAAACTTTACCTGTATGAAGACCACTTATATATCTAATACTGAATTATACCCCACATTTTTAAAATAAAAGAAAAAAAAAGTGGGCCAACCATGGGACAAAAGTAACTCTCCAATCTGTGGTTGAGAAACAAGGCATGGCTTACTTGATTAAGTGAAAGAACAGAACAGAGTGGCTAATGAGTCTGGAAACATAGGTGAATACATCATAAATGATTTATTGATATTGCATTGCAATCCATGAGAAAATAATATCTTTGTTGCAAGACTTTATGGCCAACCTATAGAAATTCAGGAATGAAAACAGTGGAGCATCAAAGATGCTCCTCACCATGTCATCAGGGAAATCCAAATTTAAACAACAAGATACCACTACACACTTAGTAAGATGGCCAAAATCCAGAACACTGTCAACACCAATGCTGGCAAGGTGTGGAGCAAAAGGAATTCTCATTCACTGCTGGTGAAAATATAAAATGGTACAGTCGATCTGGAAGACAATTTGGCAGTTTTTTTTACAAAACTAAATGCATTCTTACCATATGATCCTGCCATATGGTAAATACGTACTCTTTGGTATCTATCCAAAAGAGGTGAAAATTTATGTCCACACAAAAACCTCCACACAGACACTTATAGCAGCATTATTCATAACTGTCAAAATGTAGAAGTAACCAAGATGTTATTCAGTAGGTGAACAAAATAAATAAGCTGTGGTAGCTACATCCAGACAACAGAATATTATTCAGTGCTAAAAATAAATGAGCTACCAAGCCAATGAAAAGACATAGAGGAAACTGAAGTGCACGTTGCTAAGAGAAAGGAGCCAGTCTGAAAAGGCGACATACTGTCTGACTCTAACTATATGATAACCCGGACGAGGCAAAACTATGGAGACAGCAGAAAGCTCAGTGGTTGCCAGGGGTCAGGAGAGAGCACAGAGGATTTTTAGGGCAGTGAAACCACTCTGCGTGATGTTACAATGATAGACATATGTCATCACAAATTTGCTCAAACTCACAGGACATACAGCACCAAGAGTGACCCCTAACCGTGCACTACAGAGTTTGGGTGATAATGATGCATCAGTGGAAGGTTCACCATTTGGAACAAACGCACCATTCTGGTGTAGGATGCTGATAGCGGGAGGCTCTGCACGTGTCCGGGCAGGAGGGACATGGGGTACCTCTGTACCTTCCCCCCAGTTTTGCTTAGAACATAAAACTGCTCCAAAACATACAGTCTAATAATAAAATAGGAAACAAGACTTGATGAAGATCACAATTTCTGAAGGTGAACTGGGGCTCCTGGCAACATCCTTTCCAGCCCCATGGTTTGCCTCCACCTGGCCCTCGAAATGAGTTTGCCAGATGCGGGGTTTGCGGCATCACCCCTGAGTGTCGATCAGTTCCCACCAACAGTGAAGGTCCTAAGATTCTTCTTGAACACTTTTGCAAACAGCTCAGTGACCCTTAGGCTGAAATCCTGACTTTTAATAACCTTTTGTCTATTAGCAGCCATAAAGCTGTGGGATAAAAACATTCTCTCTTTGTAACTGGTAACAGAAACTTTAAATCGTTACCAGCTTTCTAGAGTTTTAGAATTTTTAATTCTTGGTTCAGAACAATATAAGATTTCATCTAAACATCAAGTGACTTAAAAGTCATTTTCCTTCCATGCTTTAAACCAACTTTCTCTAAAAAATTATTAAAAACTAAAAAAACTTCGGACTGGGCATGGTGGCTTATGCTTGCAACCCCAGCACTTTGGGAGGCTGAGGTAAAAGGATCACTTGAGGCCAGAAGTTTGAGACTAGACTGGGAAACAAAGCAAGACTTTGTGTCTGCAAAAATAAATTTTTCTTAAACTAAAAATTATTTTTAAAAAATTAGCCATGGCTGGTGGTGTGTACCTGTTAGCCTAGCTCTTGGGAGGCTGAGGTGAGATGATCGCTTGAGCCCAGGAGGTTGTTGAGGCTCCAGTGAGCTATAATCATGCCACTGCACTCCAACCAGGGTGACAGAGTGAGGCCCTGTCTCTCTAAAAAAAAAAAAAAAAATTTAAAAATTCAGATCGACCAATCTTAATACAAGTAATTATAAGTTGATCACTTCTGATATTAGGCACAAGACAGATAATTTTGTTTCAGTAAGATAGTTGGCGAATGAAAGAAAAAATATGAATTCTTTATTTTTATTTCTTTTGAGCCAGGAGTCTTACTCTGTTGCCCAGGCTGGAGTACAGTGGCACGATTGTGGCTGACTGCAGCCCCAATGTCCTTGGCTCAGGTAATCCTTCTACTTCAGCTTCCCGAGTAGGGGGACTACAGGCGTGCCAACCACGCCCAGCAAATTTTTTGTAGAGATGAGGTCTTGATTTGCTGCCTAGGCTGGTCTCAAACTCCTGGGCTCAAGTGATCCTGCCACTTCATCCTCCCAAAGTGCTGCATGTGAGCCACTGTGCCAGGCCAAAACATGAATTATTTATTTAAAATCGTGTCTTACTATTTGATAAGAATTTCTCATGAATAAATACTATAACGTATTTTGTTTCTTTCATTATGAGTATCTGAACAATATATATCACCACAGTGATCAGTGAGTCTTGCTATATATACGACTAACAATTTATATAATGGTAAATCAAGCCCTGACAGCATTAGACATGTGCACATTTGTTTTCTTCTTGTTATCTGCTTTTTCCACATGAAAGCACCACACGCACCCTTGGGAACAAAGCTTCAGCTCCTGCAGC